CAAACTCTTTTCTGAAATTAAAAGATAAACTATTGAACATTCTTAAACAGTATTATTGCTGGAGCAAATTTCTGGTTAGAAATGGCACACAATGTATTCTTGGCCAGTCTGAATACAAGAAACCTCCCCTTCACGGTTTCCTTGGAGAGCTCACAGTAGTGTGCCAACCACAGTGGGCGGAGCAGGGGGTCACAGTGCGCAAGGAGAAAGTCACAGTGGGCGGAGCAAAGGGGGATCACAGTGCAAGAGAAGCAGATCAGGTCCTCTGCTTGAGTCCGTTCTCTATGTCCAACACTGCACGCTCGGTCCTGCAGAGTTCTGTTCTACAAAGCGCGCTCGCTGGCCCACGTTTTATCTGCGCTGTTTGAAGCCTTGTGTACCATCAGGGCCCAGGGGCTGTCGAATTACACCACTCTGTTGTCTGGTCTCCTCTAACTGGGTAATCCTAGTTGGCCTAAAAAATAAAAAAAATTAGCTTTAGATAAAGATAATGTTAGATTAGTGCTCAGAATATCAATTTATTGATCAGTGACACTGTTACAACTAGATTTCTGACAGAAGACTAAAGAGTGTTTTCAATGTTTAAGCAATCCAACAGGATCAAGAGTTAGATATTGCTATGTACTTGAATGCTCTGTGTAAATATGTATAATCCAGTACACTACTTGCAACAGTAATATACAAGATACAAATCATTGTGATGAACTTCATCCAATAATCGAGCATTCAGATGGAATATCAACTGGCTTCAACTATAGTTTAACATTAGCTATCATTTTTCTTGTTCTTTCCTCTCTCAGAAATCTAATCGACACAGTTCCCTTTGAGCTTCCTTTTTACTAAATCACGAGACAAAAAATTTTTTTTAACAGCTTACTTTAGTAAAAAGTGAAAGTGAAGGAGGCAATTTTTCAATGGAACATTAGCACAGATAAGCTTCCGAAACATGCTTGAAAATTGGTATCAGCGCAATATGCTTTCAAGCCAAATTGAAAGCTATCATCCGTTTGAACAATTTGTCAACAACTGTATAAAGCCAGAAGAAAGACCACATAAATTGCTCACTACAAGTCAAATTTAGCTGACCTGAGGTCTCAAAAGGAAATCATATCAGGTGCAAAAATTATACCAGACAGATGATGATAAACAAAAAGATACCTACCTTGGAAGAATTTCATTCACTGAGATGATATCTCCCGCACACCTTAAGAGTCTCATTAACAGTACACTAGCATAGTCACAGTCCAGGAGAAATAGAAAGCCGCCCATTTAAAGATGTGTATCCTCAAGTTTGGAAGAACAACTTTCAATATGATTTAGATTTTCTACATGCAAGAGTATTGTTTATCATTGAGCCAATTTTCACTTTAACAGTACAGACTGGTGAAAGTCTCTTATAACAAGATCAGGACTTTTAAAAACTGACCTAGTTCTATCAACAAGGATCTTCTTACACACAACTGGTGTCCCACTTCTCACCCATTAAACATTAGGATCAAAACAGTGGTGACTGCCTGTGACAAGTTTAATTCTCAAATTGTACGGAAAAGGTAACCAAAATCAAGCATCTAGACTCAAAACGTTAGCTTGCTTTCTCTCCATGGATGCTGCCTGACCTGCTGTGATCCCCAGCATTTTTGCTTTCAATTCAGATTCCACCATCTGCAGTAACGTGCTCCTTCTAAGCTAAAACAATTTACGTCAGTGATCACAGCTTTTTGATAAAGGGCCAGAAGGCCTTCAGTACTATGGGTACTAACTCTAGCAAAGAATCCTCAACTTCTGGAGAGAAAGGAAGGAAAATATTTAACACAGCTTATGAACAAGACAGTTATCGTGCTACCTATACAAAGGCACAGAGTTTTAAAGTGCAACATAGATAGCTATTTAAGTCTAACTTGAAACAAATCACAGTCGGTGTGACCACTTTACAGAACACTTATGTTCTGTCTATAATAATGACCTCAAGCTTCCAGTCACCTGCCACTTCAACACACCATCTTTCTCTAGCACTTTAAACAGGACCCAATGGCTAGTAAACGGAAGTGTGAACTACAATTGTTACCCTCTTCCCATTGATGGAGTTAGTTTAAAATCAATTGTGAACAAGGAACAAAATAATACATCAAAGCGGTCATCTTAAAGAAGACCTGCCTGAACTTTATTGATTCATATTTCTGCAGGCTGCACTACATAGCTGACGAACAATATAGTGCAGTTTTGCCATATCCATTTTGTTACCTCTGACCATTAGTGGAAAGGCTGTCCCCAAATCTCTTCCAGGGATTTACCAGTAAGACTAATTACTTTCACTCTCAAAAGTCAGCTATTGGCAGGTATCACATGATAGGTTCAAATTAAGGTAAATGCAAAGATGATAAGTTGAACGTAGAAGTCCGAAACTAACAAGCTACTTCCTTCAAAAGCATAATACTGCAGGCACTAAAAATTTGAAATAAAGAAAACCAATATTGGAAATTCAGCAAGTTAAGCAGCAACCATAGACATAGAACTGTGTCAGAACTGGAAAAAGTTAAGAACTGTAACAGTTTTTAAGAGATGGAAAGGGGATGAACAGAAGGGAAGATCTATGATAAGGTAGAAGGCAGGAGAAATTAAATATTCAAAGGGACAAATGGTGCAGAGCAAAAATGAGATAGTAAGAGAGCAATCAAAGGAGGAGAAAGAATATAAGGCATAAATTGGACAGTGTATAATTATCAACAACTGTCTATGAACTCAGTAATGACAATACAGTGTGATACCACATTCATCAACTCACATCCAAAATGACTAAACGGCTGCTAGTCTGAACTGGAGTCATTTACTGTAGATAGATTAAAACAGAACTTAGAGGATGAATCCCTTGTCCTATCATTTACCTGTCTGTATTAGTTTTATCTTCTTCTTCAGGACTCGCACTCCCCAAGATCCGTTTCCGTGCTTCTGCGTATTCAGCTTCTCTCTGGGCCAGCGATTTGACTTGTGGAGGAGGTCTTGTAGTGGAGTTGGGCGTGCTGACCACCCCGTTACTTGTCGGTCTCTTCAAAATGCGGATTTGCGGAGCACAGGGCGTTGGATGGAGGTCATCCTGTATGACGATGGGAACCTTAGGTGTCAGCTTCGATTTTCTGTTTAAATATAAAAAATAATGATTCTCCAGAATAGCACTACACTCTCCCAAACAGCCTGTTAAAGATAAGGAGGAGACAGCATAAGACTACGAGACAAATCCAGAACAGATATGGAAGACTTGCAGGAAAGCTCTGCTGAGGAAGAATGGCAGCATCCATGCAAAATAGATTTGAGACAGTGCATTGGCAGTTACCCATGAAAAGTGTGCTCCCACCCCTCATGTTATGCTCTGAACACAAAGAAAAATGTTTTTTTAATTATAGACTGCCATACCAGAAAAGCCAGGCCTGTTCAATGGCTCACTCATAGCACAGATTCAGAAGGTTCCCGATTGCAATTTCTCTGTTATGACGCCCCAAAATCCAAGTGAAATAGCAGCTTTGAGACCATATTTACTATACCTGCAACCTCAGATTATTAGCGTTTTTTAATCGTCATAATTACAAAAAAAAAATAGAGCAAATGATACTCTACTCCAACCAGCCTATCCCACAAAACTGCAGTAGCTTGTGCTTAGTAAATATACTCCCCACCCAAAACCATATGATCTAAAATGATTTTAAGGCAGGGATGGGAATCATAAGCGATCAAACCACTTGTTACAACCGGTTAGACTTTAGGATAAGTAACTTACTACTGGGAAACAAACAGATTTAATTTTGCATTGTAGAAGCTGCCACAGGCATGTTCCTGGTAAGTTGGATGATACACTTAGAGGACAGGAGTGTCACACTCCAAAATGGAGATTTGCATGATGCTGATGGGAAACAATGTGCTTTTGATTAAATGCACAAGCACCATTCTGTAATCAATAAAATTTAATTGCTCTTCAGTTTGCAGAATGCCAGCCTTTTTAGTTTTTCTTGTATTACTGGTACACTCAAAGGGAAAAGAAATTCTGGCTCATCCATTTTGAATATACGTAGAAAGTAAGCTACCTCCATCAGTACTATAACGTGCTATGTTGGTGATGCTCATTATTTGGATGTCAGTGACTCTCACTTTCAGTTGTACACTTCGGTCCCAGAAAAACAAAATTTTACCAACTCAGGCCACTCAACCTTTCACCTCCAAAGCCACTGGAAACTTACTTTTTTTTTTGAGTTGGGAGATCCTTTGGGGAAATGGTCATTCAAATGAGAATCCAACAACAAAACAAGCAGGTTTTTCCCTCTCACCACTCCCTGCCCAAACCTTCATCCTACAAAAAAAAAAACTTGTATTTTCTCTTCTGTTCCATTCTTGAGCAAGTTTTCCATCCCAGGATCCTAAAATTTATGCCCACCTGTCAGATTTCTGCACATAATTTCTGTTGCTAAGTACAACAACAATTTTCTACAGTCGTATTGGATAATGACCTTTTATTTGGAAGTGGAAACAGGAGCCCATCAATATTGACAAGCTTTCCTTCAGAGAGGAGCTTGAAAAGCACTTACTCATTATGTGGCCTATCATTAGATAATGAGCGGGATTAGAAATCCAACTTTTTTGAGATGTTGACTTTTTAAAAAAAAAAAACAAAAAAAAAAAACTTAAGAATTCACCTGTTTTGATGATTCTGGGATTGAAGGTTCTATCCCTGCTACCATTTTTCGACTGCTGTCAACACAATGGCTGTCATATTTTGCCATGTGCTTCACATCCTGCTGGAGAGAGACTGGCTCTGTTTACAAGAGTCCCGCCTTGCTTCAGAAATGTGTAATACTTCTGAACAGGTTAATTAGAAAATTTCTATAATGGCTAAGGGTGCATGTGTTGTTACCTTCCCAGACTGCTAAGTTATTTAAAAAAAAAAGATTCTTCTGAGCTAATTTACACGTGTAGTACTAAATACCAAGTCAACAATGGACCTTGTTAAGACTTAGCATGTTACTCAGGGCAATAGCACATTGTCCACAAAGAACGTGTCTCATTTGGAGTCTCATCACTTAGGACTTATCAAATTATTTCAAATTATTATTTTAAAAAAAAAGTTGTAAATATTGGGTAAGAAAGCCAGCCAATTTTCCCGCAACAAATCTTAAACAGCAATAAATGTAATCCATTAGGTATTAATCTGTTTTTAGTTGTGATGTTTGCAAAAGGTGGTACAGGTAATTAAAGACATTTTATTCATAATTCACTGCTGAGTATCAAATTATGTACTCAAACCCTCATACCACGATTGCTATAGACTGAGCTAAGATTACACTTTCTAACTAGAGAATGAATAAGGCAAAAAAAAAAAGAACTTTTGTGACGAGTTTCAATAATCCATCACAATTCCTAGACCATTCCCACTGAAGGAGAATATATCACAAGGCAGATGAACCACTAGAACCAAATAATCACATTTCAAATTAAAAACGGTCCCAGCACATATGAAGACACTTCTAAAAATGTCTAATTTGCCAAACTGGAGCTTATAAAGATGCCAGTTTGTATCAATTTTCATTAAGAATTAGTCAGACTGAAGGAAAAACATTCCATATATTTTCCACCCCTTCCTTCCTTCCTTCCTTAAAAGGTGATGACAGGTGCTAGGGTTTAGCAAACCGAACTTAGGCAGTTATTTTTCACCTGCAAGTACCAAAAGCTATAGCAACTGTAAGAATCCTTTCACCCAAGCATAATCCCACTGTCAATGCTGGTCTACATATTCCATCAGGAACCCAGGAGATAAAAGATCAAAAGTAATAACTGACTCATTTTGTCTCATCCCATTCCCAGGTGCAATTCATTGAAGCCAATTATAGAGACCCCAAACACCATTTTTCAGATTAATGACCCACAAGCTAATTTAGAGGAACTGTCATTGAATGTTCACAGGAAAGGAAACCACTGAGCCAAGTGCATCTGTGCAGCACTAAAAGTAACTAAACTAGTCCCATTCCCCTGCTTTTTCCCTTTAGGCCCTTCAATTTTTTTTCTCCAGATGATCACAATTTTTTTGGAAGTCTTGATCAAATTTTCCTCCACACACTAAAGCACTATTCAAGAGTCTAATCATTTGAAAAGTGTTCCCCTCATGTTGCCCTTCATTTGTAATTCATCTTAGATCAATGTCCTTAGATCTCATCCCTTTTTTGGGACAGTTTCTCCCACTGTCCTGGTCCTCATGATTTTGAATGCCAATCTCCTCTTTCCAAGAAAGTTTAGAAGAACCCTATTTCTTCTAATCATCCAAGTGAAGCCCTCATCCTAGAAACCATTCTTGTAAATCTTTTCTGCATCACCTGTAATTAATAGCTTCACAATCTTCCTAAAACCCAGTATCCATAATTACTGAATACCTCTGTTGAAGCCAATCATGCAACTTATAAACTCTCGCTATAGCTCTCCTCGCTTTTGAACTTTTATGCCAATTGATAAAGAAAAAGATTGTGTATGTCTCATTAAGTTTCTCAACCTGCCCTGCTACCTCAAACAATGTGCACATTTACCCCAGATCCCTCTGCTCCTGTACTTCCTTTAGAATTTATCCTTTACTATTGCTATCATTCCTAGTATTTCCTCACACTGTCATTTCCTTCTCTGCGTTAAACTTGACTTGCCTTCTACCCATTCCTCCAATCTAAATGTTCTCCTGAAGTCTTAACACATTCTCCTCGCAGTTGAGAATACTCCCAAATTTTGTATCATCTGCAAAATTTGAAATTATGCCCTGCATACTCACGTTTCGGTTATCAAGAGATCAGAAAAATGCAGTCACAACAATCAATATACCATCTTCTATTTAAAAACCAAAGCATTCATCACTACTATTTCCTGCCACTCAGTCAACTTTTGAATCTATGCTCTCATTGTCCCTTTTATTCCACAGGCTTCAACTTTGTTGACTAGTCTCCTGTAGGCACTTTACCACATCACTCAGCAAAGCTCTTAAAAAACCTCAAGCAAGTAAAATAGATTTTCCCTAAAAACATGTCTAGCCTTCCTCAATTAATTCATAACTGTTCAAGTAATTAATAATTTTGTTCTGAAAAATTGTTTCTAAATATTTCCCATTACCAAGTTAAGACTGACTTCTACTTGCTGGACTTATTTTCACACTGGTTTTTGAAAAAAGATGCAATGTTCGTAATTCTCTTGATACTAGCCCTTTGAGGGACTGGAACATCAGGGCTAGTATACCCACAATTTCCATCCTTCCTTCAATACACATCATTGATCCATCTCACCCAGTTCTGGTGACTTGGTACAGTCAGCATTGGTCTTTCAATTTCCAGACCTTCTAGTCATGTGGTATGTTCTCTTTCACAATGACTTTGACAGAATCATCTTCTTTGGCAGAGACAGATGCAAAATACTCATCTAGCTCCTCAGTCATGTCTGCTTCAAGCATAAACAGGCCATTAATACAAGGGCATGAGTGTGTGGAAGAGCAGGGCAGACACAAGGTCCAATATGACTGTTTCCTGCAGCTGCTGCTTATGCTGTTATCTTTTTAAAATCCCTTTTTGGTTGATTGTTACTAAGAATAGTAACAAAGGCACCATTCTTAGCAAAAAGGCAGAAACATATTACGCATACCTTTTGAAAGTTTATATGTTTTACTTCATTTTATTAGTTCTTCAAAAAAAAAGTATGATAGTTGGCCAAGCATAGCATTCCTTCCTAAAATTTGTGCTGTTACGTTTTCATTTCAAATTTTTTCACATTACATTTTTGAGTACAGATATTAACATTTTTTTAAAAACAACAAGTGGCCTATAACTCCTTGGATTTATTGTATGCCTCTTCGTTTAAAAAAAGCCCCCCAAAAAAATGTGTTCTTTCTTTCTTTATGCAATTTATTTGGACCCAAGGTTTCATCCTTTCTCTGTTTTGTTATCTTAAAGAGGCCTAAAGAACAGAAAGGAATCTAATCAGCCCATCAATTCTGTGCCAGTCAAAAACAACCATACAACTAATCTAATCCCGTTTCTCAGCATCATTATTGACAGTTCCTCACAAATGGTGATGACTCTCTTCCACGCTCAGGAGGAAGTCTGCAGATAGCTGTACAGACCAACGTGGTGACAGCTGGCTCTGTTACACTTAGGTTTTGGTCAGGAGAAGGGGCAGGTGGGGCATTGGTGTGGCAGCACGCTCCATTGCTGTTTGAGCCTGGCTTCCATTTTTCCCAATGCCAAGTCTCGAGGTGCTCAACACCCTCCCAGATCCTCCTCCTCCACTTTGGATGGTTTTGGACTGGCGATTCCCAGGTGTCTGTAGGAATACCGCACTTCGCCAGTGAGGGTATCACTGAAGGCCTTCCTCTGTCCCCCCGGGGCTCACCTGCCGTTTCAAAGCTAGGAGTCTCGTGTTGGTCATGCAGGTGATGTGCCGAGGCCATCAAAGCTGATCAAGGATAGTCAGTGCCTTGATGCTTGGGAGGACACTGGTGTTGGTGCATCCTTCTTCCCAGTAGATTTGCAGGATCTTGCGCAGGCAGCGTTAATGGTACTGCTCCCGTGTCTTGAAGTGTCTGCTGTAGACAGTCCACATCTTGGAGCTGTATGGGAGGGTGGGAACCACCACAGCTCTGTAAACCATGATCTTCGTGTCGGATTTAATATTGTTGTTCTTGAACATTCTTTTCCTCAGTCAGCTGAAGGCTGCCCAAGCACACTGGAGGCACTTTCCAGCACTTGGCCTGTAGCCTCGCGTACCTTAGCATCACTCTTGTGCATCCAAATACTAACATGTTGAGGGTTTCTGCCTCTACCACCCTTACAAGCAGATTTCTATTACCTTCCGAAAACTTTCCACACCACCCCCCTCCAAACTTCCTGCCAAATCTATGCCTCTTGGTCATTCATCCCTCCACCAAGGGTAAATGATTTTTCCTGTATATGCCCTTCAATTTTAAACATCTCAATCATGTCCCCTCTGTGTCCTCTGCTCCAAAGAAAACAGCCCAGCCTGTCCAATCTCACCTCACAACTGAAACTCTCCAGTCCAGGCAACATCCAGGTAAATCTCCTCTGCACCCGCTCATATCCCTCGTATAACATAAATAAATTCCAGAACCGCACACAATACTCTAGCTGTGGCCTAACCAATTTTTTTCATCAGCTATCACTCATAGCAATTAAAATGTCAATAACGTTTTTGATCTTTTTTCTAGTGTCACATCCCTTGTAAAGTCTCTGACAAACACTTAATTTCCACAGAAATAGGAATGGGGAGCACTAAGCACAACTTGAAGGCTGATGTTAGTCCACCTACTCCAGCTTCATTTATAGTCAGCAGTACCATCTGAAGCTCTTGCTTACATTGCAACTCCAGGGTAAGGTAATCTCTAGGTGTTGTGGCGCGTGCATATTATATGGCCAGTAGGAAGTGTAATTTGTGTCCCCTCTTAATAATACTTATCAGACTGCTCCATCTGCAATATTTATGGGTAAAATATCAGAGTCAGAAAACTCCATCTGGACAGTAGTTTTAGAAAATCAATTGCAATTTTCCAAAGTATTTTTCTTCCCGTAGTTTCTTGGTCTCTTCTCTCACCTTATTCTGGGTGACAGTTCCATTAGCAGTACCAGACTTATGATACAAGCGTAGACTCTAATCTGCAGCAGAATATCTAGCCGTGAAGACCAACAGTCATACCTGATCTTGTCCTTTTTGCACAGTAGATATGCAATTTTTCCAGTCAGGGTCATTGATAAGACTCGGGTACCTGAACCCTGGCTGACTTTTTAACCTCATTAATTAACATGCAGTAAGAAACCAGTTACAAAAGAAAGCACAACCCAAGGACATTAATAATAAAAAAAATCTAAACATATTACGAAGAAGATCTTTACTTAAAGATGATAAACGTCTAGATGAGATGATCTTGGCTAAACCAAATTCAATTTAGAGTTTGCTACCATGATAGAAGATTTGGGATGAGAAGATGATATGAATGGTGATTTTGCACTCCTGAATTGATTATGGCAGTGCTGACTAGGGACTTTCCACAATTTTACAGAGTAGGATGCTTACCATCGATTCTTTGAGGGAGCCAATAAAAAAAGTTAGTGATTATTTTAGAAATATTACTTACTTTTCCTTCTGTTGAATCTTTAGTTTTGCCTCCAGTCGCCGATCTATTTCCTAGAAGTAAGGAAAAACACTTTTCTAAATATCTACACAACTGCCTTGAAAAGCAATATTTAGCTGAAAACCATGCCACAGAAGTGGAAACAAAGCCAGGTAATGATCAACCAAAGGAGATTAGCTGGTTTGCAAGTATGTTAATCAGGCTAATAAATATGATGGCAGAGTGAAAGCCAACAAAATAAAAATATATTTCACCAAAACTAAATCCTAAACAGGTTAGGCAAATCCTACTTTAGTGCACTGAAAATCTTGCCTTAATTGAAACTGAAACCTGCCTGTGATTTTGAAGCATGGCACGTGTGACAGAAGGCAGCCTGCATTTTGATTTATGGCCATTTTAAAAATAGAAAACGAAAGACACTTGGGATAGCAAGCATGATGCAACATTAGTTATATCAATATGATTGGTAAAATGCTGCAGATATAGTAAAGGGATAGACTTATTTCTCTCCCTGGAAGAAGAAAGGTTGTCTTTTGGTGCATTCACACTTCACAATACAAGTCTACACTAATTTTAAACTTGGATTGCAAACTGATAGTGAAGGTGTCATCAAATTGCAAGGAGGTGGAGCAGGACTCCAGGGATTCTCACTGTTCCTGCAGTTCCAAACAGGCACTACAATTATAGTAAAAAGCTAATTAGTTTAGAATATCAGATACTGGTAAATTAGTGAATTCTCTTCAAAGAATCCATACAGTGTGGAAACAGGCCCTTGGCCCAACAAGTCCACATCAACCCTCAGAGCATCCCACCCACACCCATCCCCCTATAACCCACCTAATTTACACATCCCTGAACACTATGGGCAATTTAGCATGGCCAATTCACCTAGCCTGCACATCTTTGGACTGTGGGAGGAAACCGGAGCACCCAGAGGAAACCCACGCAGACACGGGGAGAATGCGCAAACTCCACACAGACAATTGCCCAAGAGGGAAATTGAACCCAGGCCCCTGGTGTTGTGAGGCAGCAGTGGTAACCACTGAGCCACTGTGCCTCTTGTAAATGACTTATCAACAGTACATTCATACACCATTAAACAGCTACTTTGCACATATCAGTCAGTCAAGGGCAAGCCCAATACTTACTTTATTCAGTACCTGCACAGGCAGTACCCTCTCCAGACCCCAGAGGCACAAAGACCAATTAAAAAGAGTTCCTCTATATACAAGGAGACTGCAAATAATTAACAACAACAAAAGTTCTGGAAAAGCTCAGCAGGTCTGCAGCATCTGTGAAGAAAAAAATCAGAGTTAATGTTGCGGGTCCAGTGACCCTTCCTCAGAACTCAAATAATTGCAAATCAATGCAAATCATTGATCACTTTCCATTTCAAATCTAAAAATAGAATACACTATTAAACTGTGTGTGCAGAGTATTTGCATAGGAACAAAACTATCAAAAAAGTATTGAATGCGGAGTTTTGGATCACAGACAGCAATCCAACCAAAATCAGTGCTGGAGATACTCGATAGCAGCACCTGCGGAGTGAGATGCAGAATTAATGTTTCAAGTCCAACTCTTCTCCAGTCATTCTAAACTAGCCTGCTGTTGAGGAGACTTCACACTCTGGTAACATCCAGGCACGGAAACTAATAACTTTTTCCAAACAATAAATGTCTTTTTGTAACCTGTATGAAGTTTCTTTCCCTTGTTTGGGTGTAGTTCCATAACAGATAGTTCCTCAGGTTTCCACAATTCTCTTTATTCATGCACTAATACTTAACTGATAATACAAGCTTTACAGTTCTGTAGTAGACAGCAAGAACTGCAGATGCTGGATTCAGAGACAACACTGTGTGGAGCTGGAGGAACACAGTAGATCAGGCAGTATCACAGGAGCAGGAAAGTTGACGTTTTGGGTTGGGACCCTTCTTCAGAACTGGGGAGGGGGAAGGAGCTGGGAAATAAATAGAGGAGTGGGGCTGGGGAAACGTAGGTGGGATGGTAACAGGTGGATCCAGTTAGGGAATGGTAGGGATGGGTCAGTGGGATGAGTGGGACGGATAGGTGGGAGAGAAGATGGACAGGTTGTGTCAGGTCAAGGAGGCGGGAGGGAGGATGGGTGGGGCTCCCCCTACCAACTTTTCCCCAGCCCCACCCCTCTATTTATTTCCCAGCTCCCTACCCCCTCCCCAGTTCTGAAGGAGGGTCCTGACCCGAAATGTCAACTTTCCTGCTCCTCTGATGCTGCCTGACTGCTGTGTTCCTCCAGCTCCACACTGTTGTCACAGCTGTGCAGTACTTTTTTTTGTGAAATTGAACTTTAACCCAGAGGCTAAAGATCTGGTGATGTAATTAGATTCCCTCCACATGTAACCGACACGGTCATAACAATCCAACTGGCTGACTAATATCTTCTAGGGAGGGAAATCTGATGTCTTTGCCCAACCTGGTTTATATGGGATTCCAGACCCAGTTACATGAGTAATCCCTACCTGATCTCTGGAATAGTCAGGAAAGACACTCAAGGCATCAACTCAACAGCAAAAGGCAACACATGCTAGTTATGCCTACATCCTACAAACGAACATTAATAAATGGTTTCACTATGTTGTGGTTAAACGTGTTTTTGCTACTTTCCATTAACCCAGTTTCATCAGGACTCTCCCACTCACCATATTTCATTTTTTCTGATAAATCTACATTCCATTTCTTGCAGATCACATACCCTTAAGTACTCACAAGCTTCGCTTATCCTGTGATGCTGCAATTAAATCACTACACCTAGATTCCTCAGTGTCCCCTTGTTTGAGGGAATGGGGTGGGGAAGCAATTGAGGGGAAAGGCCTTGCTTATTTCAAATCTTATTTTAGACTATTACTATTATTTGGGGTTTGGTGAGGTAAAGAAAAATACTACTGCAGACTTATGCTAATTACAGAAAAGAAATTTATAATGAAAACATGCAAGTGCTTGAAGTACAGAATGATGCCTACAGCATGGATTCAATTCACACATTGGTAAGGGGTCTTCATCTCAACCTCTCACCTTACCCAAGGTGTAACACCCCGATTAAACCACAGTCATCTCTGATAAGAGGAGCCCTGTGGTCTGGTAGGAATATGGCAACATTACGTACTTCTTAGACTGGCAGCATTTGTGCAGAGAGAAAGAGTAAATGTTTCAAGCCAATGACCTTTCGTTAGAACAGACAGTTCACCAGTTGTGACCAAAGATCATTGATCCAAAACTTTAATCATGTTTCCCTCACCAGAGAAGCGCCAAGACCTGAGAATGTGTGTTTACTGTTTTTGTTGCACAGCAAACCTGGACTAAATGCCCAGTTTGCGACTGCATTCCACAATATTTGATAAAACAGCCGCCAAGGTACTTGGACACAGATTTCATATTAAACATTTTCTTAGTGGTTCTTTAATGTCAACTTGGCCCAACTGGTACACTTACTTCAGATTTAGAAGGCTGGAGTTTCAAGTCCTACTCCATAATGAGCACATGTAATATCTGATATAGCAGTGAAGGAGAAGCTGCACTGCTGGAATGGTGTCCTTCACAGAAGTAAACTGTCTGCACTAGTTAAACAGGACAGAGAGTTTGCATGGTGCCCTGGCCTACAGCATTCCCTTGACCATCCTGCTTAAAAGCAGGTCAATTGTTTATTCAACTGCAAATTTGCTAGCGGTAGAGACTGCAATATGTCACAACATAACAGCCACTGCATTCACAAGTATCGTACAAAAAGCACCTCAGGATGGCTGTATGATGGTATTACTTGTTGCAAGTCCTTCAATTCGATACAGGTCAAGAATAGAATATTGCTGCTCTCACACCAGTTAACATCTTTGCCAAACACTACACTGGGTTTCACCAATGTTATTGGAAATTCAAACCATTCAACCTTCCAAAGTACTGGTAGTACTGAGCTCTAAATGTTCTACATAAGAAATAGGAGTACAATGCATATCTTGTAGATAGTATCATCTCGTCAGAAGCCATGTTGCCACATTCTGTTTTGAGATTATGATGTCTGCAATGGAATCTCAATTATCTGCTATATGAATATATCATTCTAGTGGATAATAAATGTGTTGAAATTAATTAGATTGCTTTTCCATTTCCTTGCCTATCCACACCAGAAGTTGGCAAGAATCTATTCAGCAACAATAAATTATCCAGTTCCACTTCCTAATGCATTGAGTAACACCGACTATCAGACACCATTGCTCCAAAGACGATTTTGGTTCTCTTCAACTACAGGGATAATAGCTCACACTCATTTTGGTAGCCGTTACAGGACCAATCTCAGTGAAGCTGTCAACTTTAAAATTTAGATGGAGAAATCTCAGGAATGCATTTAAGCAAGCAGACATTGTTGATTTTAAACACTGACAGCTTGACAAAGCTGGCAAGATCAGTGAAGGAGAACATGAGCACCAAGCTTCATAACTGGAACATCATAATTGTTTTTAAGAGAGACACAAGATCAACTGTCATATCTGAGCTGATATGTGGACAAATTGTATTGCTCTTGCTATCTCTGAAGCTGTGAATAATCTGGGGATATTGCACATTATAACACAAGGTGGCATATTTAACACAAGCACGTTATTCCAAGGACTCAACCATTTGTATTTCCCTTTATATTGCCTGCAGCCTCAAGGGTGCTTTGTACTATGAGCCTTCATCCTTAATCTACACAAGTGACTTGAGAAATAGCAGTGACCAATTATAGCATTGAAATGCGCCTTCCATAATATTCTCTGGACTTGACTACTCAGCTGGGTGTGGGGAGGGTCTCCAGGAAAACATCCTACCAGAAAAGATTTTGACCTATTTTCAATGATGCAACATCAGATAGAACTACCAGAACAAGTTTATAACATGTAAATGATGAAGAAATCACACATGGTAAGTGCTAAAATGGTTTTAAATTGATTGTGTAAACATTTAAATTATTTCTACAAAAACTAAGGTTTATTTATCAATAGATAATGTAGTCAAAATTCTGTCTAGGAAGTGGCAGGTGAATTTCTCAAACAAAAAATATTGCTGGAAAAGCTTAGCAGGTCTAGCAGCATCTGTGAAGAGAAATCAGAGTTAATGTTTCAGGTCGAGTGACCTTTCTTCAGTTCTCAGTTAACTGAATTTCTCAGTTTATTTACCTTTCTGCCAACAAGGAAAGAGCTTTTGTAATGGAAAACAAAGGACCAATAATTTTTGAAATATATTTATCTTTTGAACAAGTCATGCAATGTATAAGCCTTGACCAATAATGAAATGATTGCCACCTGTCCCTTAGACTATAGCAGTCAACACTGGAGAAATCTCATGGGTCATAAAACTTCATGCTACATGATTATTGACACTTGGCATAACCTGCACCAAAAATATGCATTTATGACATTGTATGCAGAGTTTATTTCTAGATCACCAAAAATGCAATACAACTTTACTGCATCATGTGTTTAAAGTAAGAGGGTTAGTTCTTCCTACACATTGTGCAGGAAGAACTGAATTCTGAAGTTGCCATGTCAAAAATAATCACATCTGTGAATTTGAAGAATGGGCTGCTTACATGGTGGGGGGTGGGCATGATAATAAGTCATCTTTTGATCTTTACTCCCATTGCAGATACACATTCCCTGCTTCCTTGAAAGAAGGCCCTAGAAATTTGGGTCGTTAAATAACATCGAGGGTAACAGGTAAAATAAACCGGAACATATTTGGTTCGCAATCCTGGAACTGAAGGTACTGTCTTCAACCCTGTGAACTCCATAAATTCTTCCACCATAATCCGATTTTAAATCAAAGCTCAACACCATTCCAAAGCTAAACACTGCACTAATTTATTCTGAGGCACTTCTTCCTCCCCCGCCCCAATTATTGTCATTGGAAAAAGAATCATTATCCCTTCATCATTCCACAAGACGCAGAAATGGGAGATCAGCTTGTCCACTTCTGGGAGTTGGCAAAGACTTCGGCACCCGTTGCAGTGGTTAGATTACCTCTATCGCTCTGGAATCTACATCACTCGCTTCCAATGCCTTTTCTGGTCATGTTACAATATTTAGTCTCCCTCCTGGTGCCGACACTGACTCCCCAGAAGAGTGTGGTAGTTCCAAGCGGTTATAGATCTGGGTTTTGACCTAGTTTATTGTCCCCCTCACTCACTCGCTCGCTCTCTTTCTCTCTCATGCCGCTCCCCTTGCTGCCGAACCCCCCACACTTGTGGCCGACACTCACAGAGACCCTTTAAATGTTGCACATTGCTCTTCTGTTCAACTCTCGGACCTCGAGAAAACAACTTCACCGCGCCAACGAACCACGAGGCCTGTTTTGAAGAAGCCCCAGCCTCACCGTGGCTTCATCCGCCGCTCCTTACCCCACTATCGGCCGCTTCCTCCCAATTATCCGCGATTTCCTCATCTTCCATCTTAGCTTCTCGGCTCACTCGCCCCCAGTCACACTGCGCACGCGTGGAGTCCTCAGCACGCAGGCGCAAGACGCCACCGGCCAGTAATACGCAAGCGCCAGTGTGCCCAGGGACGTCGGACTCACGCATGCGCGGTGTTGCCCGTCCCCGTTTAGGTCCTTTCAGCGGCCCGACTCAGGCGCATGCGCCCTGGCGACTGCGGGAAGCCCCGGCTATAGCAATCGATCTGTGAGTGAAAAGATGGCGGCGGCAGGGCCCAGCTAGCCCGAAGCAGCGGCACGGCGAGCGCAACACACCTCGATAGCAGGCCCAAGAGAGGGCGGGGAAACGGAGCCAGCAACCCAGCGGGGAAAAGAAAGGTGAGGCTTAGACTGGAGTGGGGAGCCGGCTGCGCGCCCCAGAGAGCAGCTGGGGGAAAGGGCGCTCTGAGGCACAGGGTTGGAAGAAGGCCATAGACTTGCCTCCCGCCGCCATCATGGAGACGAAGCAGGGTCCGCCAGGCGCGCTCAAACAATACACGGATCAATAGATAGAAAGAGGGTTAATGGAGCCCAGAGACGCCAATACACTGATCAATTGATAGACGGCCAATAAACAGAGGGGTAATAAATGGAGGGACAGCAGGTTAGGGCCACAGCAACGAGAGCGCATATGAGAAATAACCAGAGAAACTCCAAGGGAACAAGAGACACTGATTAAAGATTCACGCGGGTAGTGTGTTAATAAACAGGGAGATATTTGGATGCAGTTCGATAAACAGACAGGCATTAGGGTGGGGCATGCCCATAACCGAGATACTCTAGGGAAAGCATAGACAGTAAAGAGAAACATCAGAGCAGAGAGAAGGAAAACATGCAAGGGCATAGGGACAATTAACAAGCACTAAGGGAGAGAGAATGATGGAGGTAATTAATAAACACGCAGTTGGAGCAGTAACAGGCACACTAGGGCGGAGACGACAAAAGCAAAACATATAAGGATGCTAATCTTCTGATCTGCGACACACAGGATTGTGATTACTTGTTATCATGATTATTTTTCATGAAAACTTTAAAAGGAATAAACTGCCATCTCCAACTTGACATGAAGCATCTGAGGAAAAACATTGCCCATCAGAATTTCCGGCAAAGATGTTCCGGGCTACAACAGTTTTACTGGACTGAAAACCACTGTTTGTCATTGAGATTGAATGCCCTGTTGTCAACAGTAGGGGATTCTGCCCTTTGCCAGGATCTAAACCAGACTGCAGCAGGGATCAAGCTATAATATGTGCTGGTGATTGAAAAAACATGAACACATTATCAGATCCAAATTGAGAGTTAAAGAAGCAAATGCAGAAATGCATTTTTGGCATGAATTTTATATTTTAGAAGCTTGGCACAAGCTACTTAAAACGGCACTAACTAGTTTAAGGCCCAAAGTTTTAACAAGGGAATGTGTCTATCCCAACCATTTGTTATTTGTGCTTTGTCTGGTTGGAAGTCAACATCAGATCCTGATGTGAGGAGATAATGGCTGAATAATGCTGCCCAGTCAGCAATGCCACATCTGTGAATGAATTTAAAAAATGGAAACATACTCTTGTATCTACCAGCTAATGTCATTGAAATTCTCATCTCAGTAGTGTAAAGTGGTAGCATATTTATTATTCATTCAGACTGTGGGCATTACCCAACCCTAATTGTCATTGGAAAGGTATTGTGACCTGCATTCTTGAACTGCTGAAGTCCACAGAGGATTAGGTACAACCCCAAGGGAGTTATAGGAATTTAACCCAGCAACACTTTGAGGCATGACCAGCATATTGCACTTTTTAGACTATTATGTAAGGAGATGGATAAACTCTTGTGTGAATCCATTAACAACATATCTATGAAAAGGAGAACTGCGATATTGTTGGGCAGATACACCATATGCATTGTGAAGACATCACTTATGATATTTAACAGTGGATGACTTTGCTGCTTCTTGTAAGAAAGTTAGCTTTGGGTAGTCTCCCACCTGTTCCTGTATGAATCTCGTAGTTGGTGCAAACTAAATTTAATGATTTAGTTGTTCCTTAGATTCCAGTGTCCAGTGTCATTAATTGAAATCTTTTGAAATCATTTCTAACGTTTACTATGATATAAATAAAGGTGTCACTTTTGCTTTGCATTACTTGATGAGTTATTATTACTATTGGCATCCTTGCCTCAACTGAATCCAATTAGTACCCAGTATTCTACTATTTGTTAGATGTTGCAAACTAGAACAACCCTCTTCCTTCCCAGAGTTAATTATGGACTTCAAGGACACTCCAACTTTTGCAAACTTATGGACATACCAGAATAGGAGCAAGAGTAGACAATATGGTTGGTCAAGTCTGCTCCTCTATTCACTACATTGTGGCTTCAACTTCACATTTCCATCTAATCCCTGCATCCCTTGAGACTCTGAAGACCATTAATTTGCTATCTCAACCTTAAGTGGATTATAGACTCTGCCACATCCGCCTGTATTCTAAACAGGAGAAACAACTTTTTAGTTTCTACCTTGTCAAGCTCCTTCAGAAGCTTGTACATTTCAATGAGATCACCTTTCATTCTTCTACATTTCAGGAAACATAAATCTAATTTCCTCGGCCTTCCTTGGGACAGCCTTTCTATTCCAGTAACATGATCTAATGAACCTTCCCACCACCAACCCCCCCCACCAAACCCCAACAACCACTGCAATTATGTCTTTCCTTAATAACGGAGACCAAAACTGCACACAGTCTGGCCTCACCAAAAGCCTTGTACAATTATAGTAAGACGTTTTTATTCTTGTACTCCAATCTCCTTGGAATAAAGGTGAAAATGTAATTTACCTTCCTAATCTTGAGCCATATCTTGTATCCTTGTCAAAAACTTCCAAGTCCCTCTAAATATCAAAATTTACAAATTCTGTACTTTATTAAAAAAATCTGCTATTCTGGTCTTATGGCCAGATTGTATGATGTCACATTTCACTGTTTTACATTCCCATTTGCCACCCTGTTGCTCACTCATTTAATCTGTCCATGTTCTCCTTACAACCTCCTTACAGCTGGTGTTCCCACTTAGCAGCAGCAAATTTAGATATGATACTCACTGTCTTTCCATCCACATCACGAACATAGATCGTAACTATTTGAGAATCTAGCACTGATTGTTGTGGCACTTGACTAGTCACATGCTGCCAACTTGAAAACACCCATTTATCGCTACTCTTTCAAAGATAGTAAGAACTGCCGATGCTGGAGTCTGAGATAACCCAGTGTTGAGCTGGAGGAACACAGCAGGTCAGGCAGCATCAGAGGAGCAGGAAAGCTGATGTTTCGGGTCAGGACCCTTCTTCAGAAAATT